TGAACCTGGGAGGTGGAGGTTGCAGTGAGCCGAGACTGTGCCATTGCGCTCCAGCCTGGGCGACAGAGCACGACTCTGTCTCAAAAAATAATAATAATAATAAGAAGAAAAAAGATGAATGAAGAGAGTGAACCAGCCGTGAGGGAATCTGGGCAGGGCATTCCAGGTGGCAGAGTCGTGGCTGGAGCTGGGCAGGTAGGCTGCCGGTGGGCGGAAATGACTGGCAGTGTGATTAACCCAGGCAGATGGTGACCGTGGGGCAGCCGCCCAATCCTCTTAGCCCAAAGCCCCTTAATACTTCCGCTGTGTGGGTCACCTCCGGGCCTCCCCGGTGCCTGGCTGACACCATGCCAGGGCTGGCGGCCTGGGAGGGGGCCGAGGGCTGGAGCCCGTCCCCACCGCTGTACAAGGAGTACCGGCCACCGCCCCTGGACACCATCCGCCTGCCCCGGTATGTGCTGTACCTGCTGCTGGCCACGCTGGTCGTGCTGGCCGTCGCCTATGCCATTGTCGGGCACCTCATCAAAGACCTCGCCCACGACCTAGCCGGTGAGCTGCCCCCACCGAAATCCGGCCTGGCAGGTGCCGGGCCACCCCGGGTGGGTGGTTGGGGAATCCAAGGGCTTCTCCTAGCCGGGGAGGGGACAGAGAAGGGTGGAATGGCCTCACCAGCTCCCTTGCCGCAGACTGGGCGTTTGGCCCGAAGCCAGACCAGGAGGATGCCCCCCGGGAGCTGCGCCCCAGCCTGACCGGCGAGGACCTGGAGGGGCTGGACCTGCAGCTGGCCCTGGCCTGGCAGGGCGAGGAGGACGCCGTCAGGGGTGGCGAGGGGGCCCCCTCCGAACCCCCGCCTCCCCCAGAGCCCCGCCGTCCCTCCGTTGCCTTCAAGGATGCCCCGTCCCAAAGCTCCTTCTGGAAGCTGATGTGAACTAAAACCTGGACCCGGATTCTGGACGCTTTGGCGGTTATGTGGACAGAACATGCCCTTTCTGCCAGCCCTGAGCTGCCCGGTCGCAGCGGATGGCGTTCTCCTTCCCAGCCGGCAGGTTCCGGGGGTTGGATGCTGATGACTTTCCCACTCTTCAGAGACTGCCCTGCTCAGCCTCAGCCAAGCTGTCAGCAAACTGAACTAGAAACACCAGGATGATTTAAAACATTGTAATATTATCGGCCAGCCTTACCTAGTGCTTAGCGTGCACCTGCTGCTGTGTGGGGCAGGCTTTCCCTATGCATCATCTCATTTAATCCTCCAAGGTAGGACTGATTGCCCCCATTTAACAGATGGGGAAACTGAGGCACACAGCAGTGAACTGGCTTCGCCTAGGTCTTAGAACACAGAGAGCTTTTCTCAGTAAAAGCCCAGGCAACTACTGACTTTGGAGGGCAGGATCTCCGAGGTGGGTCCCACCCCATCTCCTCTGCTGGGCTCCCTTCCCTCCAAATCTTCTCCAGCCCCAACCTGGGCTGCTGGGTCTGCTTGTCTCTGGGGCGTGGTCCTGACTTCCTAACCAGATCGGGAGCTCCCAGACAGCACTGAGGCCTCCTTCCCTTCCAAGCCTTGCAGAAGATGGGGTACACAGTAGGAGTTTAATAGGTGCCTGCCTGGCTGGCTCAAGCAGACCTGTGGCCGTCCTGGGGCTGGGATGTGTAAGCTCCGTCCTGCTGAGTGGACTGTCTGCTCAGCAGTCATCCGCAGACCTCTGGAAGACAGGAAGTGCCAGGGACGAGGCAGGTGCTCCACAAACACCCGTGCGATGACACTCGGCCTTGCTGCCACTCGCCTGGGCCGTGGCTGCTCCCGTGTCAGCTGGGGCGGGGTCCCCCTTCGCCTGGGCAGGGCCCGCTATCTAATCAGCCAAGGGACCAAGGTTGAGGACAGGACAGCCTGGACCCTGAGTCATCAGTCATCAGCTGCGGGGCACCCCCACGTGAGAGCGGCCCGGTTTGCAGGTGGACCACGGGCATGTGGTTTCTGCACGCCTTTCCTGTCCCCGTGTGCTCCCGTGGCTGCTTGTGGGTCCCCAGAGGCCAAGAGCCTGGGCGAGGCAGGATAAGCTGGGGCTGAGGTGGACCTGGCTTCAAATCCCAGGTCAGACCTGCTGCGTGACCTTACCTCTCCTGGGCCGTGCACGAGACCGGCCACATTTCACGGGGTGTTAAGGAAGCAGCGTATGAGGCTGCCGAGTACGGAGCCTCGTGTGTACTCCGTGAGCGAAAAAGTTGGCTCTCAAATTTCTTTTGTTTTTAGTGACAGGGTCTTGCTCTGTCGCCCAGGCTGGAGCGCGGTGGTGTGATCGTGGCCCGCTGCAGCCTCACACTCCTGGCCTCAAGGGATCCTCTCACCGTGGCTGGGACTACAGGTGCAGGCCACCATGCCCAGCTAAGTTACTTACTTATTTATATGTTTCTATTTTTTTGAGATGGACTCTCGCTCTGTGGCCCAGGCTGGAGTGTAGTGGCGAGATCTCAGCTCATTGCAGCCCCCGCCTCCTGGGTTCAAGCGATTCCGTGTCTCAGCCTCCCGAGTAGCTGGGACTACAGATGCACGCCACCACACCTGGCTAATTTTTGTATTTTTAGTAGAGACAGGATTTCACCATCTTGGCCAGGCTGGTCTTGAACTCCTGACCTTGTGATCTGCCTGCCTTGGCCTCCCAAAGTGCTGGGATTATAGGCGTGAGCCACCTCGTCCGGCCTATTTTATTTTTCTGAGACTGAGCCTTGCTTTGTTGCCCAGGCTGGAGTGCAGTGGTGTGATCTCGGCTCACTGCAACCTCTGCCTCGGTTCAAGCAATTCTCCTGCCTCAGCCTCCCAGTTTTTTATTTTTTATTTTAGAGATGGCGGGGAGACCGGTCTAGAACTCCTGGTCTCAGGTGATTCTCCCGCCTTGGCCTCTCAGAGGGCTGGGATGACAGAAGGGCACCTCACTGGGCCTTGGTGACTCTTTTTATTTCTATTTTTAAAATTTCTTTTGAGACAGGGTGTCCCTCTGTCACCAAGGCTGGAGTGCAGTGGTGTGACCACAGCTGGTTGCAGCCTCAAACCCCTGAGCTCAAGGGATCCTCCCACCTCAACACCCCCTAGTAGGTGGGACTGCAGGTGCCTGCCAAGCCTGGCTAATTTTTGTATCTTTGTAGCAATAGGGCTTCACTAATGTGCTGCAGCTGGTCTGGAACTCCTGGGTTCAAGGATCCTCCTGCTTTGGCCTCTCAATGTGCTGGGATTACAGGCGTGAGGCACCACATCTGGCCCACCCTTCTTTTGTTTGAGACAGAGTTTTGTTCTGTCACTCAGGGCTGGAGTGCAGCCGCCCGAGTAGCTGGGACTACAGGCACGCGCCACCATGCACAGTTAATTTTTTGTATTGTTAGTAGAAACGGGGCTTCACCATGTTGGCCAGGATGGTCTCGATCTCTTGACCTCGTGATCTGCCCGCCTCGGCCTCCCAAAGTGCTGGGATTTCAGGCGTGAGCCCCCGCGGCCGGCGCACCCTTCTTCTTTTTTTTTTTTTTTTTTTTTTTTTTTGAGACGGAGTTTCACTCTTGTTACCCAGGCTGGAGTGCAATGGCGCGATCTCGGCTCACCGCAACCTCCGCCTCCTGGGTTCAGGCAATTCTCCTGCCTCAGCCTCCTGAGTAGCTGGGATTACAGGCACGCGCCACCATGCCCAGCTAATTTTTTGTAGTTTTAGTAGAGACGGGGTTTCACCTTGTTGACCAGGATGGCCTCGATCTCTTGACCTCGTGATCCGCCCGCCTCGGCCTCCCACAGTGCTGGGATTACAGGCTTGAGCCCCCGCGCCCGGCCTCCCCAACCCTTCTTAACATATTCCATTTGTATTTGTGAGTTTCCCCTGTGCACACAGTGGCAGGGGGCCTGGGCCGGGCCGGGATGTGGGAGCCATCTCAGCTCAGCCCCTGCAGCAGGGATCGCGAGGGGGTGGCTCTGAGGCTGACGGTCCCCAGGGCAGGGTGCAGGGAGGAGGGACTCCCCCAGTTAATTGTTACACAGGTCCAGAGTCTGGCCTCCCGGAGGGGGAGCGATGGGGCAGGAGCTGGCAGGGGAGGGCAGGATGCCCAACCAGGTGTTGCCAGGGGCGGGCCCTGCTCCCGGGTCTCTGGCATCCCCCGCCCCGGACCGCCCGCGCCTTATCTCGGGGCGGCAGGGCCTCACCCACACCAAACCTGTGGAGGTCGACCCGGGACGCCGCTGGCTGGCTGATGGCTCGCTCGACCGTCATGGAGATCCTGGGGTCCCTTCTGGTGCTGGAGTTTCTGCTCCTCTCCCCGGCAGAGGCCCAGCAGAGTAGGTGCAGGGGGGCGGGAGGGGGCGTCGTGGGGTGGGGGAGTTGGTCAGGGGGTCACCATCGCCCAACTTTCCACGGCGAGAAAGAGGAGAGGGGGCAGGAAGAAGAGGCAGGGTGGGTGGGAGGCCCTCCTCAGCGCCTTGCAGTCCGCCGGGCTCTGCCCGCCTCTGTAAGGGCCCGAGCCCTTCTCCTCTGATCACACCAGGCTGAGACCCCTTGAGCTGGCCGGCTCTGAGTTCCGGCCTCTCACTAGTCCCTCCCCATCCGAGCCCACTCTTCCTTTGTAAATCCCGCCTCCTCACTCCTCCTCCTTTATAAACCCCACCCGAGTCCCTCCTCTGCTGTAAACCCCTCCCCTCTGACCTCCTTCTTCTTTACCATCCCCCTCCGTTATAAGTCCCTTCCCCCGGGACCCTCCCCCTCATAAGCCCCTCCCCTCTAAGCACCTCCTTTTTATAAGCCCCCCCAGGCCCCCCTTTTTATAAGCCTCTCCCCTCTGAGCCCCTCCTTTTTATAAGCCCCTCCCCCTCTTAGACCACCTCTCTCTTTATAAGCCCCTCCCCACTGCGCTCCTCTTTTTTTTTTTTTCCTTTGAGAAAAAGGAAAAAACAGTTTGCTGTTTCCCCAGGCGCCAGGCTGGAGTGCAGTGGCGCGATCTCGGCCCACTGCAACCTTTGCCTCCCGGCTTCCAGCAATTCTCCTGCCTCAGTCTCCCAAGTAGCTGGGACTACAGGCGCATGCCACCACGCCCATCTAATTTTTGTATTTCTAGTAGAGACGGGGGCTTCACCATGTTGGCCAGGATGGTCTCGATCTCTTGACCTCGTGATCCACCCGCTTCGGTCTCCCAAAGTGCTGGGATGACAGGCGTGAGCCACTAAGACCGGCCAGCTCCTTCTTTTTATAATCCCCGCTCCCTGAGCCTCCGCCTCCTTTATAAGCCCCTCCCCCTCTGAGCTCCCCTAGTTCACAAGCCCTTCCCTATCTGAGCCCCCTCCTCTTTTGTAAGCCCCTCTTTCTTTCTTTCTTTCTTTTTTTTTCTTGAGACGGAGTTTCGCTCTTGTCACCCAGGCTGGAGTGCAGTGGCGCGATCTCGGCTCACCGCAACCTCCATCTCCCGGGTTCAAGCAATTTTCCTGCCTCAGCCTCCGAGTAGCTGGGACTACAGGCGTGCGCCACCATGACCAGCTAATTTTTGTATTTTTTAGTAGAGACGTGGTTTTTTTTTTTTTGAGACGGAGTTTCACTCATGTTACCCAGGCTGGAGTACAATGGCGCGATCTCGGCTCACCGCAACCTCCGCCTCCTGGGTTCAGGCAATTCTCCTGCCTCAGCCTCCTGAGTCGCTGGGATTATAGGCACGCGCCACCATGCCCAGCTAATTTTTTGTATTTTTAGTAGAGACGGGGTTTCACCATGTTGACCAGGATGGTCTCGATCTCTTGACCTCGTGATCCACCTGCCTCGGCCTCCCAAAGTGCTGGGATTACAGGTGTGAGCCACCGCGCCCGGCCAAGCCCCTCTTTCTCATTCATCCTCCTCTATAAACTCCTCCCTGAGCCCCTCCCATGAGTCCTAGTGTTGTAAACCCCATCCCCGGAGACTCTTCTTCACAAGCCCCTCCCCATCTGATGGCCCCGCCTCCATAAGCCCCTCCTTCTCTGAGCTCCTCCTCCTTTATAAGCCCCGCCCCTGAGCCCCTCCTTTGTCATAAGCCCGTCTCACTGTGCCTTTCTGCGTTATAAGCCCCTTCTGAGCCCCTTCTCATTTGCAAACTCCGCCCCCTCAGAACCCACCTTCATTTATAAGCCCCTCCCCTCTCTGGGTCCTCAGCCTCCCTCCCACTCTGGTAAGGTACCCTCTCCCCTCCCTAAACCCCCCACCCCGCTAAGGCATCCCGATCTCTGAAGCTCCATTCCTTTCCAAGATCCCCTCTGTCGGAGCACCCCAGTGCCCTCTCTCCTTGCTAGGGTGGTGGGGGGATGGGGGGTCCTCTGCCCTGTCCTTCCTCTGAGTCGAACCTCCCTGACCTCCTGCAGCCACGGAGCGTCGCCTGAAGCCGTGGCTCGTGGGCCTGGCCGCGGTGGTCGGCTTCCTGTTCATCGTCTATGTGGTCCTGTTGGCCAACCGCGTCTGGTGCTCCAAAGTCAGGTGGGCGCCAGCCCCGACCCCGCTGCCCCCACGGCCCTGCCCAAAGCGCTGACCCCGTCCCCAGCTTCCTAACTGTCTCTGGTCCCCGCATCACCAGCCTAGATGTCCCAATGTCTCCCATTTCCCTGCTGCTCCTCGGAACCCCTACTCTCAGAGCCCAGACGCCCGGCCTGCACCTGCCCCTCTCCCCCCCGAAAACCAGCCCGGCAGCCCACCCCTTCTTGCATTCTGGGGTTCACGAGCCCCGGCTGGGAGGTTGTGACAGAGGCTGAGGCTGTCACACCACCTCCTTCCCTTTACCCCCTCCCACCCTTTTCTTTATCTCTGCAGGGCTGAGGATGAGGAGGAGGTCACATTCAGAACAGAGTCCAACATATACCAGGACCTGAGGTACTATGCATGAGGGTGTCAGGGGTCTCTGTGAGCCCCTCCTCCGGGCGGGGGAACAGGTGTGCACAGAAGACCTGACTCTCCCCACTCCCTCAAACACCTTCCTGCCCCGGGGCCTCCAACGGTCCTGTACCTTCTGGTGGCTCCTCTCCTCCTCCCCTTGTCCCCGCTCAGGGGTTTCTGGCCTGGCCACCAGCCTTCCTGACACCATCCTCTGGCCCCACGTCTGATTCATGCTTCTCACCAGCAGAACCGCCTCAGTCGCTCACTAACTTCGAGACATTACGTGGGGCTTTCCAGTTGTGTAGGCAACTTCGCTTTGGTCCTGCCTGTGTCCTCATACCCAGCACGGGGCCTGGAACACAGGGGGTGCCTAAAAAACGCCTGTTGAAGAAGAGTGTGGTATAGGGTTGTGTAGGCATCTGTACAACGCCCAGGTGTGGGCGGCCCACCTCGACTCAGTCTCCTACGACTTCCGACTACCTCCTAACACAAGGGTTCCAACAGAGGGCTCAGGGATGCAGACGCCCATCACTTGTCCACCCACCCACCATCCATCCACCCGTCACCCCCACTCATCCACCCATTCACCCGCCTCCATCACTCACCATCCATCACCCATCACCCACTCATCCATCCACTCACCCATCCACCCATTCACCCACCTACATTACTCACCATCCATCACCCATCACCCACTCATCCACCCACTCACCCATTCACCCATCCATCCATCAACCACCATCCATCCACTCATCACTCACTCATCCACCCACTCACCCACTCACCCATTCACATCCATCCATCCCTCACCATCCATCACCCACCATCCATCCACCCATCACCCACTCATCCATCCACTCACTCATTCACCCACCCATGCATTTACCAACCCATCCACCCACTGACCTATCCATCCATCACTCATACATCCATCATTCAGCCACCATCCATCACCCATCCACTCACCCACTCATCTGCTCACACACCCATCCACCTACCCACCCATCTATCCATCACCCATCCATTCACCATCCATCCATCACCCATCTATTCACTCACTCATCCACCCACACACCCATCCATCCACTGACCCATTTATCCCTCCATTCATCCCTCCATCCATCCATCCATCCATCCACCCACCCACCCATCCACCCATCCATCATGGGCTGGGGGCTCTGTCTTGGGCAAAGGCTTGGGGACAGGAGTAGGAGAGTGGGAGCTGGGAGGTGACCAGCCTGGCTGGGAGATTCTCAGCCCAGTTCAAGATGTGCCTGAGGGGAGGACCTGAGTGGTGGCTTTGTCTAAGATCTGGCTCAGCCCCAGTAAAATGTGATTCCTACTCCCAGGATGTGTACGGAGGATCTGGCTCCCACCTGTCTAGCTGTACCTGTAGCTTCCTTTCTGCCTTGTTCATTCCTCCATCCACCCACCCAACTGTCTGCCTATACATTCATCTATTGGTCTGCCTGTGCAGTCCTCGCCCTCCAACCACCCATCCATCAGTCCACCTACCCATTAGCCCATTGATCCATCCACCCACCTACAGTCTCAATTATCCTCCATCTACCTATCCACTGATATGTCGTTCTCTTCTTCCTCCAATTCATCCACTCATCTACCTATTAATCTGTCCCTCCCTCTATGCAACCATCAGTTCTCTTTATCTACTCATCCATCCATCCACCTATACATTAGTTCATTGATCTACACATCCATCTATATTCCCATTCTCATCCTCCATCCACCCATCCACTGATCCATCATTCTCTCCTTCCTGCAATGTATCCATTTATCTTCCAATTCATTTATTCAACCTCCATTCACATAACTACTCTCTATTCACCCATCCACCCACCCACCCATTCATTCATCTACTCATTCATCATCCATCCATCCATCCATCCTTCCTTCCAACCACTTACCCATTTATCCATTCACCCATTCATCTCTACCCCCATCCTTCCCATCCACCCATCCATAATCCATCCATTCACCCGCTATCCACCCACCCATCCACTCATCTACCCTTCTATCCCCCAACTTCTTTACCCCCCTCCCCATGTATCCATCCATCCATCAAGCAATTTAGTCTTTTTTTTTTGAGATGGAGTCTTGCTCTGTCACCCAGGCTGGAGTGCAGTGGCGTGATCTCAGCTCACTGTAACCTCCACCTCCCGGGTTCTTGCAATTCTCCTGCCTCAGCCTCCCGAGTAGCTGGGACTACAGGCGCCCACCACCACTCCCGGCTAATTGTTTTTGTATTTTAGTAGAGACGGGGTTTCACTGTGTTGCCCAGGCTAGTCTCAAACTCCTGAGCTCAGGCAATCTGCCCGCCTCAGCATCCCAAAGTGCTGGGATGACAGGCGTGAGCCATCGTGCCTGGCCCGCAATTGAGTCTTAGTTGCGATGATGATAGGCAGCATGAACCTCCATATCATCTGCCCAGCCACAGCCCCCAGCCTGAGAAGCAGCCTCCTTCCCCAGGGGTAAACTGAGTCCCAAGAGGCAACAGGGGCCCTTTGGCTTCTCTCCATCCATCTAACCCTCCATGGAGCAACTGAGTCTTAGTTGCTGTCTTTGTGAAATGGAAATCGTGAGGCTGCGTCGTCTGGGTTATTTTGAAGATTCACTGAGATACGCTTGTAAAACACATCACATGGGCTGGCTCAAATGAATAGTCATTAAATAGGAATGATTCTGTTTCTTATTATGGTTTGGGGCCTTTGTATCCCTACAGTGAAGACAAGAGTGAGAAGAAGGATGCCAAGGAGAAAGAAGAGAAGAAGAAGAAGGAGAAAAAGGCAGCCAAGGAAGGAGAGAGCAACTTGGGGCTGGAGCTGGAGGAAAAAGAGCCCCAAGACCACGAGAGAGCAAAGAACACAGCCATGTAGATTCCTGGCTGCTTCTTCCAGGCAGTCCCCCAGAGATGCCTCTTCTGCCCCCTGCAAGCAACGCCCTGGCGTTGAAGCCAGTGAAAGGACTCCATCTGGGATTCAGAATGCAGTGTTCTCAAGTGAAGGAGGCTTGGATCCCACCCTACCTCCTTCCATGGGGGCTCTCCGGGCATCACGTGGTTTTCATGCACCCCTCTTCCTGAGCTTAGTCCCTGCCTGGTGATTCTTCCGATGCTTGGAGAACATCCCTGGTTGAGGAGACACCTGCAATCCTCCGCAATCTCATGGCTCCACCTGCTTCTACCCACTGCCTGATTTCTCTTCTCTCTGCCTGATGTCTGCTGGCCAGAACTTCCCCTCTCCCATGCAGCCGCTGTCCGTCAAGGGCTGCCTCCTGATGGCCTGGATTAAAGAATTCCTAAGAGCCCTTTGGAAGGGCTCCTGTCATCTCTTGGGACTCAGTTTACCTCTGGGGAAGGAGGCTGCTTTTGGGGCTGGAGGTGATGGCTGGGCGGATGATATGGGTGCTCAGGCTGCGCAGGTGCCCAGATGCCCTGGGCAGATTAAACACTCCCCCGCCAATCTGGTTTCTGCTGTCCTGAGCCCTGGACTTTGTGCCCTGAGCGCCGTCTCCAGGGAAATCTTTGCTCCTTCCCCCACCCCCAATCGTGTTCTCGGGCACGTGGCTTTGTTCCTGGGAACTGGACCCTGGAGGGTGGGGGTGTCCCAGGGCTCTGCAATATCTTGGAAAGCGACTAGCACTTCCTTTCCCAGTTTCTGTTCTCCCTCCAGGCCCTGGACCTTGCCCTCAACAATGACCATTTCTCTTTTTTTTTGAGACGGAGTCTCCCTCTGTTGCCCGCGTTGGAGTGTAATGGTGTGATCTCCGCTCACTGTAACCTCCACCTTCTGGGTTCACGCGATTCTCCTGCCTCAGCCGGGCCACAATTACCATTTCTTTCTTTTTTATTATTTTCTCTTTCTATTGTATTTTACTGTTTTTTTTTAAAGAAACGGGGTTTCACTGTGTTAGCCAGGATGGTCTCAATCGCCTGACCTCGTGATCCGCCCGCTTTGTCCTCCCAAAGTGCTGGGTTTAAAGGCATGAGCCACTGCACCCGGCTGCGTTTGGAATTTTTTTGCGGGGGTATTTTGGGTTGTCACAAGCCTGCCCCCCTTTTAGGATGGGGAGCCAGGGGTGACCAACCCAACAGCCTGTCGTGCTGGGGCGGCCCCCAACTCCTAGCCAGGAATCGCATCACCCGGGGGGGCAAGGATTGGACATGACGGAGGCTTTCCTTGAGATCCAGGGGCAGGCTGAGTCTCCACCCCGGCCCACTCCAGCTGAGACCCCCTGAACTGGGCTCAACCCCCGCTCTACAGGAAACCTCCTCCGAGAAAGGAGCTGGGAGGGGGGAGGTGCGTGGGGTCCCCAGTCTGCCCACAAGGGGGCGCCAAAACCTCGGTGCTGAGGGCAGCAGGGGCCACCCAAGTTGGGAGTGGGACTTGGGAAGGGGCCTCGGACCCCCTATCCTCGATGTCCTGAGTGCCTGTCACTGGGGAGTAGCGTGGGGCCGTGTATCTGTGTGTTGGCAAGGACGCACTGTGCCTGCTGCCCTGTCAATGCACCTTACCTCGCTTTTTGTGCCTCAGTTTCCCCATTTGCAAAAAAGGATCGTCCCTGCCTTGCGGTCTTGTGGGTAGGATGGAAGGAGCCCATGGGGCAAAGAGAGTTTTCCTGGCCCATCCTGGGGTATCTTGGGGTTTTGGATGGGGGACAGGACGGAGGGCGCCAGCTCAGCCCTCCAAGAAATGGCCTCTCACGCTTTTTGTTTTTTGAGCCAGGGTCTTGCTGTCACCCAGGTTGGAGTGCAGTGGCTCGATCTTGGCTCACTGCAGCCTCTACCAACCAGGCTCAAGCGATCACCTCCACCTCCCAAGTAGCTGGGATTACAGCAATGCACTACCATGCCTGGCTTTTTTTTTTTTTTTTTTGGAGATAGGGTCTTGCTCCATTGCCCAGGCTGGAGGGCAGTGGTGCAGTCTCGGCTCACTGCAACCTCCACCTCCTGGGTTCAAGCAATTCTCCTGCTTCAGCCTCCCGAGTAGGTGGGATTACAGGCGCCCGCCACCACACCTAGCTAATTTTTTTATTTTTAGTAGAGACAGGGTTTCGCCATGTTGGCCAGGCTGGTCTCAAACTCCTGACCTCAGGCAATCCACCCACCTCGGCCGCCGAAAGTGCTGGGATTACGGGCGTGAGCCACTGAGCCTAGCCTAATTTTTGTATTTTTAGTGGAGACATGTTTCACCATGTTACCCAGGCTGGTCTCCAACTCCCGACCTCAAGTGATCCACCTGCCTCGGCCTCCCAAAATGCTGAGATAGCAGGCATGAGCCAGCACACCTGTCCCCTCTCACACTTTTTTTTTTTGGCTGTCACCCAGGCTGGAGTGCAGTGGCATGATCCTTGCTCATGGCAACCTCCGTCTCTTGGCCTCAAGATTACAGGCACATGCCACGATGCCCGGCTTACGTTTAGATTTTTAGTAGAGATGGGGTTTTGCCAAGTTGGCCAGGCTGGTCCTGCCTTGGCCTCCCAAACTGCTGAGATTACAGGTGTGAGCCGCCGCACCTGGCCACTTCTATTCACTGTTTACCGACCTGGAGGAAGCTGGAGGGTCCAGGAGGGGAGCTGATTTTGAGTGTTTAGTTCACTGCTGGGTCCCAGTGCTTGGTACTCAGGAGATGTTCAGGCAGTCTTTGCTCAATGACTGGGAGTTTGCCAGATGGCAAGAGAAGGCATTTTGTGCATTTATGGAGCACCGGCTGTGTGCCAGGCTTGGATTACTGCAAGGTGAAAGGAAGAGGGCTGAATCTCCTGAGTCTGGCTTGGAGCGGGTGCTCCACAGATGCCCCATGGAATTCACTAATAGCTCTGAGACTGCTGGGGGAGGAGGGGACCAGGCTGGAGAAAGCTGGGAAGGCTTCCTGGAGGAAGAGGACACCAGTGTTAAAGGTCTGCACAGACAGGGAGGCAGCAATGAGCAAAGGACCAGGGGTGTGAAAGGGCCCCTCTGACAAAGGGGAGATTACAGCCACCAGGGACATTTCAGAGACAGGTCTGGCTTCAGAAGCTCATTCAAAACCACCATCTAAAGTGGGTGTCCTCCCACCGCCGGGCACTGTGAACGTGGGCGCTGGATCGCTCCCCGGGGTGGGACCATCCTGGGCACTGCAGGGTGCCGAGTGGTGTCCCTGGCCTCCACCCGCTCCATGCCAGGAGGTCCACCTGTTGTGACAACCGCGGATGTCCCAGACATCACCCAGTGTCCTCTATGGGGCACGATCGGCCTTGCGTGAGACTCCCTGCATTAGGGGATTTTTCTTTTTGAGATGGAGTCTCGCTCTGTTGCCCAGGCTGGAGTGCAGTGGCGTGACCTTGGCTCACTGCAACCTCCGCCTCCCGGGTTCAAGCGATTCCCCTGCCTCAGTCTCCTGAGTAGCTGGGATTACAGGTGCGTGCCACCATGCCCAGCTAATTTTTTTGTTTTTTTTTGTAGAGATGGGGTTTCACCATGTTGGCCAAGATGGTCTCGATCTCCTGACCTCGTGATCCACCCGCCTCGGCCTCCCAAAGTGTTGGGATTACAGGCGTGAGCCACTGCGCCCGGCCAACCTGTAAATTTTTTAATGTGGATAACTACAAAATTTAAATCACATATGGCTCGCGTTCTATTTATATTATAGTTCCATCTAGAACTTTCTGATGACACTATAATTGGATACTCTGCCCAGGTACTCTAGAGCACTAGACAACCACTTCCTCCATGGTTCCAGAATTCTCCAGTCTCAGTAGAACCAGATGGCTCTATTCACCAATTCTGAGCATTCTCATCTGCCTGGATTCCTTTAACCTAGAAACACAGACAAAACGCCAAGCCCTGGAACTCCCTAGGTATCACGGCTCTGCTCAAGATTCTAGAACCTTCTTAGAGCTATAGGTTCACACTGGTTCTCCTCTCCACAACCACAGACGAACTTTTTTTTTTTTGAGACACGATCTCACTGTGTCACCCAGGCTGGAGTGCAGTGGCACTATCTTGGCTCATTGCGGCCTCAAGTGATCCTCCCGCCTCAGCCTCCCAAGTAGCTGGAATTACAGACCCATGCCACACACCTGGCTAATTTTTGCGATCTCCTGAGGTCAGGAGTTCGAGACCAGCCTGGCCAACATGGTGAAACTCCGTCTCTACTAAAAATACAAAAATGAGCCGGGCGTGCTGGTGGGCACATGTAATCCCAGCTATGCAGGAGGCTGAGGCAGGAGCATCGCTTGAACCTGGGAGGTGGAGGCTGCAGTGAGCTGAGATCACGCCTCTGGCCTCCAGCCTGGGTGACAGGGTGAAACTCCAGCTCAAAATAAAAAAATAAAAATAATACTGCCCCCAGGGGCCATTTGATCTGAAGCTTTCAGAATCCCAGCCTCCCTATCCATGGGGTTCAGGGTCCCCCCGGCTCTCTGCGGCCCCCGCCCCTGCAGCCTCTGCCCCTCACTCATCCAAAGGACATAGAGCAACCCACACAGCACACGGAAAAGAGGACCTGCAACAGCCGGAAAGAGTCGAAGCATAGCTTGTTTAATTTTTATACATTTTTTTCTTTCTTTTTTTTTTTAATCTTTTATTGAATCTTTTATGGAATCCCCCTTTTTTCTTTTTTTTTTTTTTGCATAGGGAACAAACAAAGTAATGACAGCCAGTCACTTTCTGTAAATGGTACTTGGGTAGGCGCTCCTGCGAAAACCAAAATGACTGCGTAATATACAAGGTTACGATCGGAGTATGATGTGAGGGGCGGGGCGGGGCGGGGCGGGGGGGAGGGCTGGCGGGTCGGCCCACGTGTCCCCTGGTCCCCCTCCTGTCCTCGCTGTCCGGAGGAGCAGGAGCAGGAGGAGGGGGAGGGCGGGGGACCCAGCCGGAACCTTCTCTGGGTTGGGTTCATGAGCATTTTTGTGGGTGTGTACGTGTGTTATCCGGTGTGCAGTAAGCAGGAAGCTAGAAGGAGAGTAAACTATCCTGGTAATATCAGTAATACAAAACGGAAACAAACAAAAATCTCAAAGGGAAGAGGGAAGGAAAAGCAACGCCACCCAAACAGCAAGGGGGAAGGAAAAAAAAATTACCCAGAGAGGAAAATGTTCTCTCTCTCCCTCCTCCCTGCTGCCCCCGACCCCCCACTGTATCGCCTGTCCCATCCTGTCCCCCCAGAGCCTTTGCTTCTTTCCCTGTGTGAGGGTGCTCGGGGCTGGGTGGGCAGGAAGCTGGGGGCACAGGCTGGGACCCCTGGACTTGAGGGGACTTTGGTTTTGGGGGGGCCTGGCTGGGACCCAAGATGAGAGGATGGGGTGTGGATGCAGTTGAGGGGCTGGGGCAGCCACTGTCCCCTTTTTGGAGGGTTCTCTTCCAGCCAGGAGATGTGTGTGGAAGGCTGGTGGGGTGGTGGCTTGGGGTTGCATGACTTCCTTCCTCTCTGGAGCCTATTCCTGTGGGACCCCCTTCCTCCTTCCTGCCTCAGGTATGAGCA